GAGCGCGCGCGTCTGAGGGACGCAGAGCGCGCGCGGCCACATCATGTGGCAGCGCGCACACTCTGCGCACACCCACGACGGCGCGCGCGCACACAGAGACAGAAACAGGACCAGACATTGAGTAGTGTCAGAGCTCTGCCACCAAAACAAGAATTTACAAGACCAAAGTGGCAGAACCCTGACACTAGCCCCCCCCCAAAAGGGACGCCACCTGGCGTCCCTAAAGGGAACATTCAACAAGGTACAAGACAGACAAGACACACTACAAGACAACAAAACAGGCAACATCAACAGACACAAGACAGGGAGGTGAACAGGCAAGACGACATGAAGGGGGGGAGGGAGGGAAGCCAAGCCAGACCCAACAAGACAAACAAGGGAGGGATGGGAGGGCAAGACCAGGGAGGATCAGGAGGGACAGTCCAGGGTGGATTCAGTGGGTCGGGGGCCCCGGCAGGGAGCCAGGGTGGAGCCGGAGGGTCCGTCCAGGGTGCAGGGAGGGAACACCAGGGAGGAGCAGGAGGGACGACCCAGGGAGAGTCTATCAGGGGAGACAAGGCAGGAGGTCGGTGGGGAGCCGGCTGGGCTGGAGACCAGAGGGGAGCCGGCAGGGCTGGAGACCAGAGGGGAGCCGGCAGGGCTGGAGACCAGAGGGGAGCCGGCAGGGCTGGAGACCAGAGGGGAGCCGGCAGGGCTGGAGACCAGAGGGGAGCCGGCAGGGCTGGAGACCAGAGGGGAGCCGGCAGGGCAGGAGACCAGAGGGGAGCCGGCAGGGCAGGAGACCAGAGGGGAGCCGGCAGGGCAGGAGACCAGAGGGGAGCCGGCAGGGCGAGGCGCCGGGCTGGGACCGGCAGGGCGAGACGTCTGGGTGGCGCCGGCAGGGCAGGGAGCCGAGCTGGGGCCGGCTGGGCAAGGAGCCGGGCTGGGGCCGGCTGGGCGAGACGTCTGGGTGGCGCCGGCAGGGCGAGACGTCTGGGTGGCGCCGGCAGGGCGAGACGTCTGGGTGGCGCCGGCAGGGCGAGACGTCTGGGTGGCGCCGGCAGGGCGAGACGTCTGGGTGGCGCCGGCAGGGCGAGACGTCTGGGTGGCGCCGGCAGGGCGAGACGTCTGGGTGGCGCCGGCAGGGCGAGACGTCTGGGTGGCGCCGACAGGGCAAGGAGCCGGGCTGATGCCGGCAGAGCAAGGAGCCGGGCTGGGGCCGGCAGGGCAAGATGTCTGGGTGGCGCCGGCAGGGCAAGGAGCCGGGCTGGTGCCGGCAGGGCTAGACGTCTGGTTGATGCCGGCAGGGCAAGGAGCCGGGCTGGGGCCGGCAGGGCAAGACGTCTGGTTGATGCCGGCAGGGCAAGGAGCCGGACTGGGACCGGCACTGAGGGGCGCTCAGGGGCTGGAGCCGACACTGGAGGGCGCTCTGGGGCTGGAGCCGACACTGGAGGGCGCTCTGGGGCTGGAGCCGACACTGGAGGGCGCTCTGGGGCTGGAGCCGACACTGGAGGGCGCTCTGGGGCTGGAGCCGACACTGGAGGGCGCTCTGGGGCTGGAGCCGACACTGGAGGGCGCTCTGGGGCTGGAGCCGACACTGGAGGGCGCTCTGGGGCTGGAGCCGACACTGGAGGGCGCTCTGGGGCTGGAGCCGACACTGGAGGGCGCTCTGGGGCTGGAGCCGACACTGGAGGGCGCTCTGGGGCTGGAGCCGACACTGGAGGGCGCTCTGGGGCTGGAGCCGACACTGGAGGGCGCTCTGGGGCTGGAGCCGACACTGGAGGGCGCTCTGGGGCTGGAGCCGACACTGGAGGGCGCTCTGGGGCTGGAGCCGACACTGGAGGGCGCTCTGGGGCTGGAGCCGACACTGGAGGGCGCTCTGGGGCTGGAGCCGTTGTGGTGGAGGAGCCCTTTCTCCTCCGACGCTTCCTTGGTCTGGGTGGCGGGAAGCTGGCCACCTCTTCAGACACTGCAGTATACTCCACTGCTTGCAGGACTGGTGCAGTGTCTGATGCGGGTGCCTCAGTAAGTGATGCTGCAGCCAGGATGGTAACTGAAAGGGCTGCAGCAGGTTCAGTCACCTCTGGGTGGGCGACAGGTGAGGCTGACCCGTTCTTCCTCCTCCGTCTCCGTTGGTGGGTCATCGGAGGACTGGGGATTTGGCAATCTGTAAGTGGGAGGGGCGGTGGACCAAGTGGAGGCAGGCCACCATTTCCCTGGCTGTGGTAGACATAACTCACAAACTGCCAGAATGTTAAAATCCCCAGCATTCCCATCTCCCAGGCCTGAAGGGGGCTGTTGAGTCCAGCGTTGAACGCCTCCTTCAGTGCAGTGTTTGTAGATTCAAGCCCCTCTGCAGCGTAGATGAACTGGTATGCAAACTCCTTCACTGTAGATACCCCTTGATGGAGTGAAAGGAGTCTGCCTAAACGCTCCCTCTGCTGGCATGCAGAGGGACGAGAAGTGGGGGATGGGAAAAGGAAGATACCCATTTTCTGCTGAGTCCTCTGTTTTGGTGAGTTCGTACTGTCACGGTTGTGGTGGGGAAAAGGAGCGAGGACTCAGGTGCAGCAATAATGGGTTTTTATTTAATTATAAAATGAAATCAAAAAGGCAAAACAAACAACCCCGAGGGGGAAAAACTCTAATAAAACAAATAAATGAACAAACAAACTTGACTGGCTGGACAAGACAGGGCTGGACAAGACAGGGCTAGACACAACAGGACAGGAAACTTTCGACGACGAACTCACAAAGGACTGAAAACATGAGGGGGATTATAAAGCAAAAAGTAAATTGACACACAGGTGAACACAATTAACTAATGATGGGTTGACAAGGAGGGTGGGACTAGACAATAGACGGGAGAGCGCATGACACAGAGAGACAATACAAGCCATGCGCTCACATAACACAACACTGAAGCACACGACAAAAGCACGTGACCACAATGTAAACACCGAACCACGTGCTTTGACAAAAGACGCAAGACACGAGCACACGATAGATAAACACCTTACCGTGCGCTCACACATAAGCAACGCGCATGCTTCATCTCAGCGCCAACCAAAACTGAAACCAACTAGACGGAGGCGCCGAGAATAAAGCAGCGCGCTGCTGACAGAACAAACACAAACACTAGTACAAGAGCGCGCGCGTCTGAGGGACGCAGAGCGCGCGCGGCCACATCATGTGGCAGCGCGCACACTCTGCGCACACCCACGACGGCGCGCGCGCACACAGAGACAGAAACAGGACCAGACATTGAGTAGTGTCAGAGCTCTGCCACCAAAACAAGAATTTACAAGACCAAAGTGGCAGAACCCTGACATAAAACGGCATTAAATCAAACACCAACAAGGTAGCAATTTTATTTCAATAATTTGCATTGCTTGGTTTTTGTTTAAAAGAGACGTAATACACATTTTAAACACTCAGTATTATCAGACACTTTTCTTTGCTAAAGCTTTGCGTTTGATGCACTAATAAATTATTAAAACTTAAATCAATTTCTGTGTTCAAGTTTCTAATTATGTCAGCCTGGTTTTGCTGATTCCACTCTCTTGTTTTATACATCTGCAAGTCTGTTAAAATTATTGATTCTTCTGGAAATGAAATTGAAAGGCTTCAGTAATAATACCACTGTGATATTGTTGCCATGTTCATTTTCTTTCTAAGACGATTTTGACACTGTAATAAGGTAAAATAACAGAACTTTAAAACAGTTTCATTTCAAATCCTTGCTATAACTATTTACATGGTGAAAATGCATGTAATAAGTGGTATGATTGTACCATAATACTAAAAATTATGTCAGCTTTGAGTTCAGTATAATATTTTGAGTCAAATCAATACTTTGTGTGTATTTGTTGCAATAACAAACAATTTGATGTGCATTATCCCGTATTATATCAGACTGAATTGAGCTGGATAATAATACTGTTTTTGGCATTAATCAGCACTAAATAAGACAACAAATTTGTTTTATAACTGATAAGAATTTTACCACATTTAAAGCATCAATATCAACACTAAAACTAATTAGTTTCAAAAAACGACAGCAGAATTTGAATTTGAATAAACTATTATTAAATTTGATGAAGGTTGAATCATTAAATCAAAGATATTTCACATTCTCTTACTGTGCAACAACATACAGTTAGTCAGAATTATTAGCCCCCCTTTGATTTTTTTTTTCTGTTTTTAATATTACCCAAATGATGTTTAGCAGAGCAAGGACATTTTTACAGTATGTCTGATAATATCTTTTCTTCTGGAGAAATTCTTATTTGTTTTATTTCGGCTAGAATGAAACCAGTTTTTCATTTTTTAAAAGCCATTTTAGGGTCAAAATTATTGGCCCCTTTAAGCTATATACTTTTTCGATAGTCTACAGAACAAACCATCGTTATAAAATAACTTGAATAATTACCCTAACCTTCCTAGTTGACCTTATTTACCTAGTTAAGCCTTTAAATGTCACTTTAAGCTGTAAAGAAGTGTATTGAAAAATATCTTGTAAAATATTATGTACTGTCATCATAGCAAAGATAAAATAAATCAATTATTAGAAATGAGTTATTAAAACTATTGTGCTTAGAAATATGTTGGTAAAAATCTCTCTATTAAACAGAAATTGGGGAAAAAATAAACAGGGAAAATAATAATTCAGAGGGGCTAATAATTCTGACTTTAACTGTAGTTTAACTTATAAACAAAAGCCTTTTATAGATAAAGGTGACTGGACACATTTGAATTGAGCTGAATGTGCACTTAATAAAAAAAAAAAAACTGTTGTCTTTCCTTTTCTAAAAAGATTCATGTAACATAACACTCAGTTACTCAAACAGAAATGTTAATCATCCACTGAAACCTCAGCAAAGTCTCTCCATAAATCTCAAATGTTGAGTTAAATGCAGATCATGTTTTGTAGGAATTGTTTAAAGAGAGTCAGTTTCATGCTGAGCTGTGAAAAATGCAGTGTACAGTAGTTGTAGGGTGAATGTAGATACTGTACTTACAGACAGTGTTCCTGGACCCGGCGGACCTGGATCTCCCTGCAACAGAGAAATGGTCAAATTAAGAGGGATGATTACAGTATTATGCATTATGTATGCATGATGATTTCAACATCATTTTGAAGCAAAAACTTTAGGGTACAAGATGCAGTTCTCAAAAGTCGTGTGAACAAATATTCAGTGTTTTTCATGGAGACTGCAGTGACTTCAAAATTGTAGTTTTTTCACAAACAACGCATAAATGTTTCTTTCCAAACAACAAAATCAATTCAATTCAATTTAATTCACCCTTATTTCTATAGCACTTTTACAATGTAGATTGTGTCAAAGCAGCTTAAAAGAAGTTCTAGTAAATTGAAACTGTGTTTGTCCAGTTTTCAGAGTTGAAGTTCAGTTTAGATCAGCTCAGTGTGGTTTAAATTTCACTGCTGAAAGTGCAAACACTGAAGAGCAAATCCCTCGATGCACAGCTGCACAAGTCCAAAACCAAGCAAGCCAGTGGTGACAGTGGCGAGGACTAAAACTTCACCAATTGACGAAAGTGAAATAAAAAAAAAACAGAGAGAGACCTATCTTGTACATGAATGTTGTTAACCTATTATTGTAGGCCAGTTTTTGCTGTTTACAGTGGTATTTAGCCACTTACTGTATTTTGCACAAAAGTCAGGGCACATCAGAACTTCTCCAGTACCCAAAACACCCTCAGACCCCAGAGGGTTAAAACAGACTGTCAAAATGGCTCTACTTTGCCACAAAATAAAAATAATAAATAATGTACAGTTGGCTAGTGATTATCAAGATCCCAGTGTGAAGGGAATCATTCAGCGGCAATAATGCAAAAATATGTGGATATTATTAATTATATTATATTTAATAAATTGAATTTTAAATATAATCTAAAATAATATGACCTTTTATAGTATATATTTTATTGATGCATATTTTTTTT